ATGAAAAATGTGCAAACGTTTGACGTTGTATAAAATATAGTGTAAGCACGCACATGGTACGCTGATTAATAGTGAAACAGCGCTCCATTTTACACTAGCGTTGAGCGTATTGAAAGTTAAGGGCATGCATCGGAAGCTAAAGCATGTACATGCAAACATAACGGCTCAGGCCGTTATGTTTGAATGTTTGTAGTACTTTATTACCCCCAGATTTGGTGTAAGGTATCTCCTGATTGCTTAAAACAGAAAGAAGGAAACATTTTAGCTCTGGGTTGAGAGAAAAACTCTACCTGCTGACAGCTACCAATCATCTCGGCGCCGATTATGAGTGTTCGCTGCATGCCAACGGTCGCGCACTTAGAACGAGTTTTTCCCATGCGATTTCATGCAATCGCAGTTGTTCTTGACAAATAACATTGTTTACTCACGCAAGCGGCCACATGTGAAGTTTAAAATATTTTGTATTGATTGTGGCACACGTGGCAAGCAACAGGTTTTTTTTTTTTTGTAATCCGCGAAATAGAATGCTCCAGGATTACCTTGGTCTCTGATGCACGTAGCACACAAAAGAGCTGAATCGCTGTGGGAAACAAAAACAATAATAATGAACAAGTGTGTAATCACGTGAGAACTGATGGCATTACACATATGCAGAAGGTAAGCTTTGTTTTTACTATATACATTGCCAGTAAACTATTAGGTTTTGTCTTGCGAGGGAAGCGGAACATGCAAGCGCGAACATGCTGCCCTTTACTACTCTTCCTGTGAAGAAGCGCACCGTTCAAAGCATGATGCTCGCTTTTATATATAGCTGTTGGTGCGCTTAAACCTTTTAAAACAAAATTATAATCAGTTCTATTATTTTTTTATTAAGTGCGCCTGTTTTTTTTTTTTTTTGTCTTTTGCGAACGTGCAGTTTTTTTAGTTATATAATATGTTTCCAGAAGTCCGACAACTATACTTTGTTCCATCATAAGTAAGAGCCGCATAATAAAAAAATGTAGACAAAAAAAAAACAAAAAAACGCGAACACACATCAAAATGCTATGTAACTGTTAGCTCGGGGTCTTTAACGTGCATCACGCAGTGTAAGTGATACACGATCGAACGACGGTATAGGGTGCAGATGGGCGACTGAACCCAGCGTCCCTGGGGGTATCCACACGAAGGAGAAATCCGCTCCTTTCCTCCGCGGAGCGCGCATCACGTGACACATACGTCATCCCTTTTTGACGCCTCGCACTGCCGTTCTCCTCCGTGGCGGAGGCGCGGAGGCTTCGTGTTGTCAGTGCTGTCAGCACAAAAGCTCCGCAGGTGCACGCGGCGGAGCCGGGGATGGAGTTTCCCGGGTTGTTGACGTCACGACATCCGTCCGCGGAGTTCTCCTTCGTGTGGATACCCATTAAAGCCCCTTGATAAAGGCTAAAGTAGAAGTTTGGGCTAGTTGGTATTTCATGATTAAAGATTAAAACAGCGCAAGGACACGGACAAGAACAAGAAGGTAGACAAACAAGGCGTAGACAAACAAGGAACACAGCGCCTTGTTTGTCTACCTTCTTGTTCTTGTCCGTGTCCTTGCGCTGTTTTAATCTTTAATTATAAAGGCGTTTTTTACAAGTACCGCCAACCATTGTTGTGGAAACCCGCAATACACGTGCCACGAGCGGGTGCTCCGCCGCCATTCGATTCCAAGGGCGAATCATTTTAGTGCTGCGCCGCCATTTGCCTCAAAGGGCCGCTCGAGACACGGGCCTCGTGCACTAGCACATTTGACCGTTACTTGAAAAACCAACGCAAACACATCGAGGGACTTTAGTCCCTACAGGTTCTGCAGCGTGAGTTCCGTGCTTTGAACGGAGCTCCCGCTCGCGCATTTCTCCATGTGCTCTGATCTGCGGTGCCACAACACAGTCGGCGGATTGGGTTGTGTGTATATTTATACCACGGTGGAAGAAGCACATGTGGTTTATACAGTCTAGAACTTGGTCTGCATCAACGGGCGACGAGTCACTCAGCTGTAAATAAGAAATTTAGCCAGTGCAGTACAACCGCTAGCCTGGGGTCTTTAACGTGCATAACGCAGTAGTGACGCACGACCGCACGTCGGTACGATGCTCATCCAGATCGAAACGAGCAGGGGTGGGGATTGAGCCCAGGATCCTGGGTTCTGCAGAGCGAGCTTTCGCTCCGCGTGCTCTGAGCTGGTGTGCGCTAGCCCACTCGGCCACCGATCCCCCCAACCCACTCGGCCAACGATCCCCCACCGCATTTGCTTTAGCATAATGAGCTATAAACCAAACGAGTTGCCCGTGCCACACGGGCAACTCGAATGAAAGAGGATCGGCACTTTTTCACCCGATAGTGTTGTGGGCGCCGCCATCTTGGTGTTTAGTAGAAAGCAAACGCAACTGCCGATCGTCATAATTCAGAAGTGCGACTTCCTCAGCATTATATAGTTTCGGTGTTAGGAAGCTCGCGTAATATTGTTTTGCTTTGTCGCGAACTGTTTAAAGATATGTGGAGAACGAAAAAGCGTTTTCTGTGATTACAGATACAGCTTCAGATAACTGACAACCATCATTTTAAGCACCAAGATGTGTATAAAGCGTAGCTTATTTAGTGGCTCCGGTTTAGCCCGACCGCACAAGCACAGAAAGAGAACGAACTGCTTGACTTCGCGCTCTTGGCGCTGCTTCAGTGGCTTCATCAGCCCGTAGCGTTGGCTGCGCTCCGAACTAGGGTAGAGCACGGCAAATATCCAGATCTTAGGGTATTACAAGCCAAACCAACAAAAATCACTTAAAACGCCCCGATAGAAAGAACTGCGGGTTTATTTTGACTCACTGGAGGTCTTTTGACGTGCAACCGAAATCTGAGATTGACCTCCGTCAGATTGCGGGCACCTCGGCTAGAGTGTACTACCTCGGCCGATATTTAAACCCGACAAATATGGATTCATGGGTCAGTGCGTTGGCTCAAAGACACTGAGACGTTTTAATGTTTTGTGTTAATATCATAGCCATTTAAGAGCCACCGATGTAGTTTTTGAAACAATATATAGTCGAACGATTCCGACAAGCATAGTTTGATTGAGAAAATTATTTTTGCAAGTAATAAAAACATTCAAATATTTTCGCATGCGTGGCGGAATCCGTTTCATGACGCCCATTTCATTTGGATCGCGTGAAGCATGTGTACCGACGCATAGTTGAACGCGCGCAAAAGCAGCTGCTGTTCTACCCGCAGCCTCGCGCTTGTTGTTGTGACATCTGTTCGCTCACTGCGGGCATCCAGGCATCTGACACCCCGACATCTGGCGCTTTTTCTGTCTTTCACGTGGCGTTTCAAGCGGCACACGACGGCAAATGTACATCAAACCATTCTTGAACATGTGTCGCCCTCTGTATTTGATATTAAGAAATTTGCCGTAACTGAATGGGAAAAGTTTGAGGTCTAATAACATTCTTAACGTGTAATATATCAATAAGGAAGTTCTGGAAACTTAAATATCGGAATATGCTTCGTAATTTAATGTCTCGTAATTTTGATAAGTTGATGTGATTTCGTTTTTATAGCACCATAAAATAATCCCATATTAAACTTAATTTTTATTTTAAAATATAATTATCTGTACAGTTCGTGGCTTACTTTTTAATTCATTGCATCCAACCGAACGTTCACGTAAAATATCGTGGACGATAGGACGTTATAACTCGAGAAATATTTGTTTCAGTATTAGAGACTATGGTATATTAAAAGCTGAATAATTAACTAACAACTAAAAATAATCGTAATATCGAGACATTCAAGCATCGTTGAAAAACAGTTCTTTAATTTGACATTAACTTTATAATTGCAGGATACATAGAAATAAAGTTATAAACCGTCCAAAAAGCACCAAAACGTCATGCACGATGGGGTTACACCGGCGACCAGACTCGAGACTCTGCAAGGCAGTCCTCACTATGGGGGAGAAGGAAACAGGCAACGGTGGACAGGGTAGAAGGGGAGAGAATACAAAGCGAGGTAAAAGTGAAAAGCGCGAAATATGCCGTCAGTCTTTAAGCGGTTGTGAAGGCAGCAAAATGATGATGATCGCTGATGGAAAAAAATTGCGGTGGCTTAGCTCGGCTATGCCGGAAGATATGTAGTGTGAGCTTATGCGCACAAAATGAGAGTAACTATCAAGCGGCTCCGGTGCAGCGTCAGATTTGGCTACTGCGCAACGGAGGCGCACAGCTGGGCACGTGGCGGCGCCAGTGCGTCTGCCGCGGCTATGACGTCACTCCTCTGGAATGCGCAGACCGGCGAGGCGCGCGCGGTGGCGGCGGAGCGCGCGGCGGCGGCGGCTCCGGCGCGCGAGCTGTGCGCCGTGTGACGTCACTGCCCCTCGCGCATGCGCAGACCGGCGAGGCGCGCGCGGAGGCGGCGGCTCCGGCGCGCCAGCTGTGCGCCGTGTGACGTCACTGCTCCTCGCGCTTGTGCAGCACAGCTCTTTGACAGACACGCGAACCTGCTCAACCTCGGCCAGTGTAGCTCACACTACAAAAAAAGTGACCACAGAAGAAAACATACAAAATTACAGTTATTGAAACTAAAGCAAGTGTGCAGGCGAACTGGTTTAATACTGATATGGTAATCCAAAACCGGAGGAAAAACAGGACGGACAAACACAAAGCTCCAAAGTGTTCCAAAAAGAGGGCGGAAACTATGACTATAGTACGATAGCAATATATTGTGAACTATACTTTCAAGGTAATCAAGGTTATGTGTGTCGTTTATTATTTCGTCTATCCTGAGATCTGCCAGTGCATAAGGAATCCTTTTCTGCGAAGAGAAGAAAAGCGGTAGATTCTTTCATCAACGCTGCAGCAACAGGCCTTGAAGGTCGCACGGGCTGGTATAGGCTCGTGACTCGGGGCTCTATGCCTACTGCTGGTGGCTGGAGGCGCCGCTGCTACACAGCTTGCGGAGCGTGGCTCGTGCTCCATTCCTTCGCCATGTCGTCCGAGCAGCGACTGAGCCAGCGGAGCAAATGGCGCTGCGGCGTCACCGGTGCCCTGCTTTTGGGCCTGCCGCTATCGCTGCTGGGTCTAGCGAGCACACTGCAGGGACGCCGTAGCACTTGGACTGCTTCAGGCCTCTGCACCACGGCCGCGTGTCGCACGACCGCCCTCGCCCTCAACGTTTCCTTGAGCCACAGCGTGGCCCCCTGCCAGGACTTGAATCGCTTCGTCTGTGAGGGCTGGCCGCATCTGGAGCACGCGGGGTCCCGTGTCCAGCTTATCATGAACTACGCGTGGACGACATACAACGTGCCGAGACGCGCTCAGTCGGGCATCGACAAGGTGGTGGCAGTGTACCAGAGCTGTGTGGCGTCCCTCTCCCCCGGAGGTGGCGACATGACAACGTTGCGCTCGTTCCTTGTTCATCTGGGATTGGGGCCCTCCGGAGCCGCCCCCGGTGCCGCCCTGCGCGCTCTCCTCACGCTGTCGCTGGCGCACTCGGTCAACCTGCTGCTAGACGTGTCCGTCAACGGGACGGGCTTCAGCGTGGTGCCCGTCGCGCCTCCTGAGGGTCCTGTGAACCAGACGTCGTATGTCGCGTACGTGAAGCGAATCGCTGAGTTGGCCCTGCTCGATGAACCCGAGGCAGTATTGCACGATGTGCTTGCCTTGCGGAAAGAGTTGGACACGAGCCCGTCACCATCGAACGAGCCCTGGCACACTGTGGCACTTGCATCTCTTGCCCACGAGACCGGCTCGCTAGTTGACTGGCTCCACCGCTTGCCCCACGCCAGTCCCGATAGCCTGGTTTTCATTAGGGGCCTCTCGAGGGTGCGTGCCCACGCCGCCTTTCTACGCCGGCACCGTGGCGACCACGCTCTGCGCCGCTATGTGGCCTGGCACACGGCCCAAGTGCTAGGCTCATTAACTCACTACGAAATTTTTCGGATGACTCTCGAGAACGCTATCGGTCAGCTGGAGCCAACGCCCGGCCTCATCAAGGCTACCTGCCTCGCGCACGCAGCCAACCTTATGCCGCATGCCTACAACGCTTTCGTAGTACGCCACTTTGCCACGCCTCGCTCCCGGAAAGCCTTAGAAGTAATGGGTGAAAGTTTACGAGCAGCGGCGACCACCGGGATCCGCTCGAGCGATTGGATGACTGACAAGCCGAAGGCCATGACCACGCTCAAGTTAAAAAAACTATCTTGGTTGCTGCCACGCAAGCGCAGTGAGACACAGGTTAACCGCGCCTACACCCACCTTCCCGACTTAGGTGTCTCCAACTTCCTGAATGCCTACCTGTCAGTGACCCAGCACAATGGCAAAGTTGACACGCAAGAGGCCAACCAGGCTGCTGTGGATGTCGTCTACAGCCCGCTGGACAACACCGTGGCTGTGTCGGCCGGCATGCTTAACACACCATTTTTCGAAGACACCTTGCCAGCTGCTTTCAATTACGCGGGGCTGGGCCATCGAATGGCGCTAGAGCTTCTGCATGCAGTCGATGAGCATGGCCGGTGGTACGACCAACGCGGACATCGCCGCGACTGGTGGGACAGCTTCACCGAGCAAGCTTACCAGCAACACGTAAAGTGTTTTGCAGACGGGGAACGAGCCCTACTGGAAAGCAGTGCGCTCCGTCTAGCCTATCAGGCCTTCCGCAGGATGCACGAGAACGTTGTGCTCAAGGGTCTCGAACACTTCACCCCAGACCAGATGTTCTTCATCAGCAGTTGCCACAAGTGGTGTGGCCAGAGTGCCAGCCCATGCAACGTGGCTGTGCTGAACCTTCAGGAGTTCTCCCACGCCTTCAACTGCCAGTCAGAGGATGCCATGAACCCTAGCACCCGGTGTGCTTTGCTCACATAGTTAATGGGAGCAACCGACGCATGCGGCATCGAAGTCTTGCACTGGAGAGCAGCCACATCCCGCACAGCTAGGACGGCTCCGTAAGCCGGCCTGGGTCTCACAAAGCTCCTGACCCCCCATGCTCTGTTAGACATGCCATTTTCTGTTCACTCTTGTTTTACACTGAGATATCACTATAAAGCACTAAACCACGCTTTGGGCTTTGCCCACCTCTTGGCATGCTTGCCTTGGTGTCTACAGATCACTGGATGTCTTGTATGTGGAACTGTTCAAGGCCTGTACAACCTGATACGGTACTATACTCGCCGACAACCTTCTGGGGCATTTCAGAACTGAATAGTGCGCGTCCACATGCAGCTTTGATGGGTACTCAAGATGCCCACGTGCACCCATAGCTGACTGCATAGCCACAGTTGGCCGCGAGTATACATCAACACGCGACGCTGACGCCACTCTGCTGCGGTGGCGCTGTTATTGGCAAAGCGCATGCGCAGACGTTGACGCGAATCTGGTTCCTGCGCACGCGCAATGCCCACACCTCGTGCGGAAACTGCGCGTTTTCCCGCACCTCGGGGGGGCTTGTTTGGAAACAGCGCGTTGGCCCATAGGGCCATAGGTGCAGACTTTACATTTCCTAAATCTTTACTAGTCATGTAAATGTGGTGCCCACTTTCAACACTTTAGTGACCACTTTTATAAAAAGAATGCCAAAGAAATACTGCAAAGATTTAGACAGCCCAGTTTAATCTCAGGGACATAGCAACTCATATCAAGTGTGGCGCACTACCCCTGTGCAGGTATACGTCTTACCACGGCCGGGCTAGTCGTGCCCGGCCGTAATAAGACGTATCGTGACGGCCGGGCTAGGCCGTCACGAAGGGGGTAGTATCTTTTTCACCGGCAGTTCGGTGGTGTTGGCCTCTTGGCTCTGGGGTTGACTTGGAGGAATCGGAAAACACTTCGTCTTCGTCTTTTCCTGAAATCCATAAAAAACAAAACAAAACAAAAAAAAGTCTACTTACCGTAAGCCAGAAGTATTTCAATCAGCGCACTATAGTTGTTTTATCTGAGTACACTGGCACATAGTTTCAATCACAGTGGTCAGAACAGTTTTTCAGTGTGGTTTAGGCAGTACTCAGAGGGTTAAAACCCCTCTGCACTGAAAGTAGCGCCAGGCCCTCTTTCCCTCTAAAATCTCTCGCTCTTTCCTCCTCTCCGCGATTCTCTTCCTTTCTCATTTCGACGCTAGCGCCTCCTAAACTGCTCTTCCGCCAAGCGCCGCGACAGGTGACTGCTGGCAAACCCTTCCTAGGTCGGTGTTTTCTGCGCGATTTCGACTCGTAGCTTTCGTGTTTTCGCTAGGATATGAGTCCCCTGTGTCCTTGACGTCTTCGCTACTGTGTTTATATGTCTTCCCATCACTTGACGTCTGGAGCAGACACGTGCGTTTTGTCGAGGCTTCGGCTGTGCGTCTGCTCAAATAATTCAGTTCGAGATCAGAGGCAATGTTCGCTTTCTAAACATTCATAAAATATAATAGAACCGCGAGACAGATCGTCCTAATCTTACTTCATCTTTAGCAGACAGGAGCCAAGGCGATAAGCGCGCGCACGTTTGTTATATGCGAAATCGTAATCTTGCGCTGCGAACGGAGCAAAGCACACCGTAGTTTCCGTGTCGCAGACTCCCTCGTTTCCAAAGTAGTCAACAGCAAATGTCATCCCTGCTTTTACCGTTTTGTTTCTACCTTTACACGTAGAAGTGACGACAAGATGAAAAAACGTGAATGGGCGTTTTGTAAACACGCGCGAGTAATTTAGTAACGCCACGTCATAGCGGCATTTAGATGACGTTTCTAAAAGCAAAACACGCGACATACGCTCTACTGATAAAAAAAAAAAAAAAAGCTTCGGCGGGCTATACGGCCTGCAAGTTCGTCTGCCCTTTGCGCACCTCATGCGTTTGTTTAAAGGGATGCTGAACCAAACATTTCAGTGTCTATAATAAGTGGCGCACTACCATTCCATGAGTCAGCAGCCGCCGGTGAGTGCAAGCACATGCAACGAAATTGACGTCATCATATCCCCCATTCAAGCTTATTAAGCGTGAATGGGGGATGTGATGACATCAATTTCGTTGAAACCTGGGCCACTCGTATATATATATATATATATATATAGGAAAGATTGGGAAGGGAAGGGGGAGATAGAGAGTGGGTGTATGCCCTCATTTCAGGGCTCCAATTGCGGCTTGGGCATGCAGCGCGGATCACCAGCAGCTTTTGCACATCGATGACTTCACTCTGCAGCCCCGCTTCCCACTCTTGGGTAGAAGGCTCCACCAGTGGAGCCAGTCCAGGGATCTTCTTACACTTCCAAGTAATGTGATGCACGTCCGCCCAGGGGTCACCACAGAAGGGGCAGGCTCCCGTAGTGTACCGATCGGGGTACCACTGGTGCAACTTGGCGGGGGTCACAAGAGTGCCCGTCTAGAGCCTTCTCCAAGTCCATTCGTCTTCCTTCCCAAGCCCCCCGCACGGGCTCGGGAATACGCGCCTGTCGAGTTTCTTCATTTTGAGTGCCTCGTTAAACGAGAGGTCCGTGTCCACTTGACCACCCGATTGGGACGAGTCCCGTAGAATACAGCCTCGGGCCAAAGCATTTGCTTTGGCACACTGCGGGGAACACTGCCTCATTCCCAGTGTTCCCCGTGTGGCCAGGGGACCAGATCAGATGCATCCCCTGCACTTCCGTCTTACTAAGTATTCTATCAGCGACTACGCACACCATCCCGCGAGCGAAATTTCCACATGCTTTCTGGGAGTCAGAGATGACAGTCGCCCTGGGGTTGCAAACGACCGCCAACGCAATCGCCGCTTCCTTAGCCTGCCCAGCCGACTCTACTCTGACCGAAGCTAATCTTAACACCCGACCCTCGGCGTTAGCCACTGCGATTGTGGCGACTCCGTTTACTGGGCCGCCGCAGTCACCATATAGCGTTCCCTCTTTGTGATCCCATGTCTTAGACAGGGCCTCAGATCTGGCCTTTCTTCTGCCGTCGTCCTTTCCTGGTTGCATATTCCTCGGGATGCGACTCACCACTATTTTCTTCCGTATTTCTGCTGACAGCTCATGGTCAAGGACAGTACCCGTATGCGTTCCTCCCGGAACCGCCATCCCGAGTTTGTCCATGAGCCACGCCCCGTTCTTCGTGGACGCCAACCTCTTTAGCTGAGCCACGAGATGTGCTTCGTGACGCTCATCTATCGTGTTGTGGACTCCTAACTTTAGTAATTTGTCGGTCGCTGTCCTCTCGGGAAGCCCTGGCGCACTTTTGTATGCTCTTCTTGTCAAAACATCAATTTTTTGCCGTTCCACTTTACTCAAGACCAAGTACGGTGTGGCGTATGTGATTCTGGAGATAATAAAGGCCTGAACGAGTTGCATTGTTTCTTTCTCTTTTATGCACCTCCTACGATTTCTTATCCTTCGAAGCATGCCACAGACCTGGGTGGTCATGGTGTCAAGTTTATCGATAGTCGACTTGTTGCCCCTGCCCTGTCGAATGAGCTGGCCGAGGATACGAATCTCCGTGGGCTTAGAGACCCGTTTCCCGCTTACCCAAACCTCAATCTGTTCCGACACACGTTCATAAGGGTTCCTCAAAACAAGTAATTCGGAATTCTCCGGTGCACACTTTAGACCGCACTCCTCAGCGTAGTCTTCTACAATTTTGGCAGCCGCCTGTAGTCTTTCTTCAATCTCCGCGTCGTTCCCCTCCCGACACCACAGGGTGATGTCGTCGGCGTAGATGGCGTGTTCCACACCGGGGACCGCCCCCAGGGCCTCCGGCAAACCCCGCAGAGCCAGATTGAAAAGAAGCGGAGATAGAACAGCCCCTTGAGGCGTCCCCTTTGAGCCGAGCTCGAAGCTATTGGATTTCACGTTCCCTAAGTTTAGAGTAGCCTTTCTGTCCGTTAAGAAACTCCGTACGTATTTGAACGTTCTCTGTCCGCAGTGTATCTCGCTCAGGCCTTTGAGTACGCTGGCATGCGAAACGTTATCAAAAGCCCCCTTTAAATCAAGAGCGAGAATACATCGTGTTTGTCCCCTGGAAGGGTTCTCCAAAAGATCTTTGTATATCCACAGGAGGATATCCTGTGTTGAGGTACGAAGTCTAAACCCAAATTGAGTATGGGGCATGAGATTTTCCTTCTCCAAGTACCTCATGAGCCTAGTGTTTAGTATCCTCTCAAAAGCTTTACCCACGCATGAGGTAAGTGAGATGGGTCTAAGATTATCTAGATTTAAGTTCTTTTTGGGCTTGGGAATAAAGCGAATGTCGGCCGTTTCCCAGCAAGCTGGCGTCACCCCCCTAGCCCAGTAGTGCTCGTTAAAATGATTAACTAGCTTCCCGAGTTCGCCTTCTTCCAAATTATAAAGGAGTTTTGCCGTGATGGTGTCGGGCCCCGGCGCGGTGCCCTTTTTCATTGCCCCGAGCTCGTACTCGAATTCTGCCACCGATACCGGCCTATCCAGTTCGAGTTTTCGCGTCCTAGATATTCTGGAGTTTCCTCCGCGCGTTCAAGACACAAATATCTGCGCGCGAGTTGGTCCATGATTTGCTCTGTATCGTTGGGTAACTCGTAGATGAGTTCAGCTATTCGACTGTCCGTAACCGACTTAGTCTTGCTCGGATCTTTGAGTGCCCTAAGGAGACGCCACGACCGTGCCGTACCGAGGCTACCGCGTATAGTCACAAATCCCATACCAGTTGCTCTTATACTCGGCGACAACTTTTCTTGGCAATGCAGTGGAAGGTACGTCCCGCGTCCCCTCTCCCATTTTGAGTGTACGCAGGCTTTCGTCCTCCCCCATTTCCGGGGAGAGGAGGAGAGCCTTCGTACACTCAAAATGAGAGAGGGGACGCAGGACGTACTTTCCACTACATTGCCAAGAAAAGTTGTCGCCGAGTATAGTGAGGTCGACCGCATGGTCCTC